CCTCTCCCTCTCCTCCAGTCTCCAGCTATGACATCAGAATTGGCCTCAGCCCACAGGCCCTGAGAGAGAGCTTCACTGCTGCTCTGCCCCTCAACACCTCCTCTCTGCACAGTGTTCCAGCAGGACAGACCCAGACTCTCCTCCTGCCTTTGGAGCCCTTGGCTGCCATGAATCAATCAGTGGTCTACCTCGCCCTGCGTGCCACAGATGAAGAGGGGGGCACCTCTGAGATCTCCAGCATCACCCAGTTGTCCACATACGAGGCCCTCTCCCAGGCTCCTGCTGGATCTGATCCATCACGCTGCTGGTTGTACCTCTGGATCTGCTGGATCTGAGTATCCGAAATGCATATGGGATCTTATATAACCCTGTGATGTACAGTAACAGTATCATGCTACTGCCCTTGCTTTAAAGTACTCAGGTTAAAATCTGGAGTATTATTATAGTCACTGTCTGCAGACTGGAAAAAAATTGACATTAGGCTGGTGAAAAGTGATATTTTTATCTGTTTGAAACTCAGTTTCCAAAACCCTTAATTTTATCAGTTGTAGGTAGTTTTCAGGCCAAATAATGGATTCAGAAGCACTTGGCAGTATGTAACCTGTAAGCTTCCAGATAGAGTACCGATGAGTCTGTTTTCAGATTATTTGCTATATCTCTAATCATGTTTGCAATGTGGTTGTTTGGATTTCTAAAGGACTGGGGTTAATTGAACAACTGGATGCGTTCTGGTGAACGCAGTCCTGCTACACAGATGATTTCATCTTTTAGTGTCATCTTGAACTCTGTCACCTTCGATTTTGTGAGAAAAGAGTTTGGTTTGGGTTTTTTTTCTGTTCTTCACAGGGAATTAATGTTTTCTTTCAAGTCTCTATGTGCCAATCCTTCTCATTCAAACTGTAATTTGGGGTTAAGAGTGGTTCACTGGGTTAAGATTGATTGTGCTGACTGGTGTTTTCAGTTTAGCAAGAAATGGTTTGACTCTTCATGCGTCTAAATAAAATACTCCTACTGTATGTGTGCACGTTTGACTGCGCAATGATCTAGTTCTTCCATACATTAATTGTTTAACTGCTTTATCCAGTACAGGCTGGTGGGGGAGCTGTAGCCAGGAAACAACAGACACAAGGCATGTTACATGACACAAACACACTCACACTAGGCCAGTGATACCAGAAGCCAGATAACCTATGAGCATGTTATGGGATTTGGGAAGAAAACAGAGCACCCAGATGAAATGAGAAGAATACACAAGTTCCACACAGATGAATGACTATATGATGACCATATGAATTGAGCCTAGAGCCCCAGCACCATAAGGCAGCAATACCTGCTGTGCCACCTTGTCACACTTACTGTATCTAGAAAAGGCTAGGGTTAGGGTCAGAACTAGTTTTTTACTACAGGTGCTGGATTTTGGGTCCCAGGTGAACTTTAGGACGAGTGACAATTTGTTCCTTTTTTCTGAGACTTTTGGCTGATTGTATTGTACATTGCACTATTCAGGAATTGTATTCCAAAACAGAGTCAATGAAAACTTGTACGAAAACCTGTCATACTCTAATATTCTCATTTAATGTGCAACTAGACGTATAACTGGAGTCATCATATAATGGTAATTGTAACCCAAACTTTACACTGCCAGGAAATACACACTCATATAAATACCATTTTGGCAGCACTTTTTCAGCTGATTGGAAATGTGCTTCAAGACGATACAGTAAAGAATAAAAGAAGAAAAATTCCCAAGAGCTTTTTTCATGGGTGATTGTTACAGAATCCAAATTTTTGTTTTGAGAAACAGATACAAACACGCTGACAGTAGAGCTTCAGAGACACACTGTGGCATTGCTCTGTTGAAACCTCGGCTAGGCTTGGGGTTAGCATTCCCACACTAATTGGACATTTGTTTCACTCAGTGCTGGATTGTGTGTTCCAAGTGCACTTTAGAACGAGTGGTAATTTGCTCCTTTATTCAACTTTTTTTTTTCTGAGAATGTCGGCTGCTTATATTGTATATTGCACCGTTCAGTACTTGAGTCAGACAAAAAAGTTGAAAGAAAATCTTTCCTACAGTGTTAACTCTCTTAATTGAATTTAGTAATTTAACTTGATGTATTTAATGTACTCAACCTTTAGTGGTTCTTGTATCCCAAACCCTACACTTTATGCCAGCAGCCATATCACCCTGCAACTCACAACTGGCAACCCACTGAAGCTAAGCAGGTGTGAGCCTGGTCAGTACCTGGATGGAGACCTCCTGGGAAAAACTAAGGTTGCTGCTGGAAGAGGTGTTAGTGGGGCCAGCAGGGGGCGCTCACCCTGCAGTCCATGTGGGTCCTAATGCCCCAGTATAGTGACGGGGACACTGTACTGTAAACAGGCGCCGTCCTTCGGATGAGACGTAAAACTGAGGTCCTGACTCTCTGTGGTCATTAAAAATCCCAGGGTGTTTCTCGAAAAGAGTAGGGGTGTAACCCCAGCGTCCTGGCCAAATTTCCCATTGGCCCTTACCAATCATGGCTTCCTAATAATCCCCCTCTATGAATTGGCTACATTACTCTGCTCTCCTCCCCACTGATATCTGATGTGTGGTGAGTGTTCTGGCGCACTATGGCTGCCGTCGCATCATCCAGGTGGATGCTGCACATTGGTGGTGGTGGAGGGGATCCCCATTACCTGTAAAAGCGCTTTGAGTGGAGTGGCCAGAAAAGCGCTATATAAGTGTAAGCAATTATTATTATTATTATTATTACACTGGCCTCAAATCCATGCTCATTTAAATACCAATGTTACAGCATTTTTTCAGCAGACTGAAAATTTGCCAAATTAAGATACACGATTGAAGAAGATACAGTATGTTCCCAAAAGCTTTTTTCAATGGTTTTCACTATTTTAGATTCCTATTTTTTAGTTTGAAGAACACATTCAAATCTGATGACTGGAGAGCTTCAGAGAATCACTGCAGAATTACTCTGTTGAAACCCCAGCTAGGATTAGGGTTAGCATTCCCACACTACTGGGACATTTTTTACACTTCCTGGATTTTGGGTCTCAAGTGAACTTTGCATTCAAGCTAGCATTCAAACAACACAAAGACAATTTTTATGCTAAGAACCGGATTTTGGGGCCCAAGACAGCTTTAGGACGAGTGTTTTTTTGGTCCTTTCTAAAAAAAATTATTTGGGAAACTCCAGGCTTCCTGGATGGTGCGGTGTACCATTCGGAAATTGTTGCAAAACAGTCCGTTAGATCAAAAGGAGGAAAAAACATTACCGAATCGAACAAATTTGGAACATCTTTTCTCAACGGCTACAATTGTTTCTCACTGATACAGTTTGCTTTGGGGAATATATCAAAATCCGATGATTGGAAGGCTTCATAGAAAGATTGCGAAATGGCTCAGTTGACACCCCAGCTAGGGTTAGGGTTAGCACTCACGCACTACTTACACGGTTTTTAAGCTCAGGACTGCATTATGGGCCCAAATCAAGTTTAGGACAATAATAATAATAATAATAATTGCTTACACTTATATAGCGCTTTTCTGGACACTCCACTCAAAGCGCTTTACAGGTAATGGGGACTCCCCTCGACCACCACCAATGTGCAGCATCCACCTGGATGATGCGACGGCAGCCATAGTGCGCCAGAACGCTCACCACACATCAGCTATCAGTGGGGAGGAGAGCAGAGTAATGTAGCCAATTCATAGAGGGGGATTATTAGGAGGCCATGATTAGTAAGGGCCAATTGGAAGTTTGGCCAGGACACCGGGGTTACACCCCTACTCTTTTCGAGAAGCGCCCTGGGATTTTTAATGACCACAGAGAGTCAGGACCTCGGTTTTACGTCTCATCCGAAGGACGGCGCCTGTTTACAGTATAGTGTCCCCGTCACTATACTGGGGCATTAGGACCCACATGGACCGCGGACAAGTGATTCCGTGCTCCTATCTGAATTTTGTTTTTCCGGAAACTCTCTGGGGCCTGGATGGCCAGTGCACCGCTGGTAAATTTCAACCAAAACTGATTCGGTCGGATCAAAATTTGAAACCAAGCATTATTGAATGCCATTCACTTGCAAGAGATTTGATCAATGGTTTTGATTTTATGCCATTCATACCTTTAGGTTTGGGGCACATGTCAAAATCCGATGCCCAGAGAGGTTCAGGTATAGATCGTGGAAATGCTCAGTTGCCACCCCAGTAGGGTTAGGGTTAGCATTCACACACTACTTACACAGTTTTTAAGCTGAGGTCTGCATTTTGGGCCCAAGCCAAGTTTAGGACGAGTGATTTCTTGATCCTGTCTGAAATCTTTTTTTCCGGAAACTCTCTGGGGCCTGGAAGTCATGGTGCACCGCTGGTAAATTTAAACCAAAACTGATGTGGTCGGATCAAAATTTGTAACCAAGCATTTTTGTATGTCATTCACTTACAAGAGCTTTGATCAGTTGTTTTGATTTTATCCCATTCATCCATTTAGGTTTGGGGAACATCTGATCAAAATGCCCAGAGAGGTTCAGATACACAGATTCAGCCATTCAAAACGCACGGTACAACCCCATACCGTACAACTGGGGTACTCATGGTACATCGGTTGTTAGTGAAACGATTTAATCTTTTAATCTCTTTACTGTGCATGAGCTTAGAAGGTGGAAGGTTGTGTACTTTTGTCCAACTGAGCAAAATTGCTTTTATAAAAAATACCCGACTTTTTAATGTATATTGATTAACATGCTGTTATACACAGTTTTAAATTATTAAAAGTCTAAAGAGTATATAACTTAAATTCTTAATTGGAAAAGGATTGTCCCTCAGCAGTGTTTTCTGGCGACAGCTCAAACGCTTTTTGAAATGGCTCAGTTGAAGCCACAGCTAGGGTTAGGTTTAGAAACTCTACTTCGACAATTTTGACGCTCGGCACCGGATTTTGGGGCCCATGATGAGCTTTGGGACTCTTCTGGAATTTCTTTTCTGGGGGAAACTCCAGGCTGCCTGGATGGCGCAGTGTACCATTAGGAAATTGTGTTGCAAAACAGTCCGTCGGATCAAAAGAGGGAACAAAGCATTATCAAATCTAATACATTTGAGACATCTTTTCTCAACGGCTGCAATTGTTTCTCACTCATACAGTTTGCTTTGGGGAATATATGAAACTCCGATGACTGGAGGGCTTCATAGAAAGATTGCGAAACGGCTCAGTTGAAACCCCAGCTAGGGTTTGGGGTAGCACTCACACTACTCAGACAATTTTTAAGCTCAGGGCTGGCTTTTGGGTCCCATATTAATTTTGATTTTGAATTTTAGGAAAAGTGGTAATATGCTCCTATC